AGCTTCTGCTCTAGTTAAAAATAAGATTTATTATATAAAACCACGTAGTCCTACGTCACCATTGCGTACAACCCCATTGAGCTGTGCTTTGTAGTTTTTTAATTAATGAACATCAGCATTAAAGCTGATCTTCCCGATTTTTTTTCTAAGATCTCGAAACTATCAATAAAAAACACAAAAGTTCCCTCAAAATGTTCTCACAATTTTCTAAAGTTCATGTAATTTCCCTTACGTTTCCAAAATTTCCATGAACCTCTCGGACCTTAACTGAAGTTTCCGGAAATTCCCTGACTTTCTCGGAACTCATTTAAAGCTCAGAAAATTCCTTGAATTTATATGTCCTAATGCTTCCCTAAAGTTATCTCAATTCTTCTGAAACAAGTGGAACTATCCTGAAAACCATTAAATTTCTTTAAAATTCTTAAGGCTTGTGAAGTTTCCAAAATATTTCAGCTTCCTTAAGTTCATTGGAGTTCTCTGGGCTTTCCTGAGATTCCCGGGTTCTCGGATTTGAACAGTAGTAGATGAAACTATCTTTAATTTATCGGAACCTACCCAAAAGTTCGAACTGTTCTAAAGTTTAAGAACTTCTGAAAAGTTCCTGAAGTTTTCCTGAAGCTAATGGAACCACAATAAAACTCTGGAAGCAATTCTGAAGTCCCGGGGAAGTTGAAAAAACTGACAGGAGGAGACGGAATAACCTTTCGAGCGAAGCCAGATAAAAGCTTCCAAGGGAAGCCAAAATAGCTTTCCGGAAGGAATCGGAAAATAATTTACAGCGTAAGGTGGACGGAAATGAGCCATCAGCTGTTTCTCGACTCTTTGGTAAAAACGGCGAGGAAATTGAAGCATTAGTCGAAATAGTATCAAGCATAAGACATTTTTTAAGATGATTTTTTAAAACACGTCTAAAATTTTAATTTTCAAAGGGAATTTTTTTTTCACACTAGTTTCTTTTGACAATTCAGTGCAGGCAGGCAGTAATCATTTTGATTATTAATAAAAAAAAACGGTATAAATCGGTATTAAAACTCAAAAATCGGTATTCTGAGAAACTTCATCTGTATATCGGTATCAAGTTTGAATATCGATATAAATACCGATCAATCGGTTTATCTGGCAACACTGCACATAATGGAAGTAGAAGGTTTATGTAGGGTGGGAATAGGGGAATAGGGATGTTCATAAAGGGAGGTGAATTCTAAAGATATTCAATTCTGTGATTTAGATTTCAATTTCAATTCAATAAATCTAACTAAACTACTCAGTAAAACCATAGAGGTAACTCTAAGACTAGAAGGTCCCGAAGAAATGAGCTCAAACTTTTGGCTCAGCTCTGGTACTCTCTTCGGTCCCAATCTAATCGATGCACCCCTCGAAACATAGGTAAATCCACGAACCCCTCATTTTATCTGTCAAACTTTCATAGCGAATCAAAACAAAAATAGTGTAGTACTGGAATTTCGACTAGAATGGGATACTTTAATAGATTTGCTTGGGACCAATAGGCTAATCAAGTAGTGAGCCAATTTAAAATCGTTAGTTTCGTATTGATTGTTGGTAAAACTATAAACAACATATTTACAAAACCACCAGAAACTGGCGTTTGAACGTCACCAATTCCAGTTTTAGATTTGCCGGTAACTTGTCCACTAGCTTCTGCAGTAGCACCAACAATCAATACAAAACTAACGATTTAAAATTGGCTCACTACTTGACTAGCCTATTGGTCCCAAGCAAACGAATAACGTTTCCCATTCTAGTCGAAATTCTAGTACTACGCAATGTTTGTTTCGATTCGCTATGAAACTTTGACAGATAAAATGAGGGGTTATTGGTTTTTCCTATGTTTCGAGGGGTGAATCGATTAGCTTGGGACCGAAGATAGTATCAGAGCTGAGCCAAAAAGTTGAGCACGTTATTTCGGGACCTTCTAGTCTTATAGTTACCTCTATGGTAGCACTGGGTTGGACAGGTGCAACACTTGACACGCTGCTTCCAGATGATCGCAGAAATCTTACACTGCCACCCCAAGGCGATAAGTGTATGCAGGTTTTCTGCCTTGGGTGCAGGAACCTCATTGTGTGACATATATTAGTGCTAGTGTAAGCAGGTCTTAACTTGACACTTAACAAGTCAGCAAGCCATGTGCTGTAAGCGCAAACCGGTAAACGGAGGTCTCCATGGCAACGCTTCATAAACACACACGGGCAACTCTCCACTCACTTTCGGACCAGCTCTTCACAAGGTAAGTCGCACACTCATGAATCTTTGCACGCAATGCGTAGATTATCTGCTCCGGACGCCCGTATAGAAGCTGCAACGTCTGCATCACCTGCAGCACCGATGCAGGCAGTAAGAGTCGACTGCGGACTGCTTACCCACACGCTTCTGTGGATGTGTTGAAGGCACTACAAAAGGTTAGCCACTCCTCCGGGTTACCGCTGAACACCGGTAGCTTCCTAGGCATTACATGTCTCGCCACTAGTTGACAAGATGTGGGTGCGTTTGCTTCACATTCATTCATTACCGGCACTTGCAGATTCAGCACAGCTAAAAAAAAGGTGTTGTATATTTCCGTTACTATGATGCACATAAATGGAGCGTCATATATCATACAAGTTTAGATTATAGATCGTGTAAATTTATGAGACATGTCATGCAATATTCCATATATTGTATGCAACTGTCCACTTTTGTCTGCAACATTTCTTGCAAGCTGCTAGTTTACGTGAAAAGGAAGTTTACATGTAGGAATGTTTGCATGCATGGATGTGTACATCTCCAGTAAAATTCAGAATTTTTTGGTGTGAGGAGACGCACTTGCTGATTCGAAAAGGGCATGTGCTGATCCAGAAAGGGGATTGTTGGGATTCGCCATTGGTTCCGAGCGACTACCGGGGAACACTTGTGAGGCTGTAACCGTTTGGTTACAAGTTCAGAGGTTTTTGTCATTTATGTTATATATTCAGAACCTTCACGTTTCTTGTGCAAGAACAGCAGTAAACCACAGAGGGGTTCTGTATCGCTGTGAAAATGTTGTGCCGTTGCGTTATGTCCACCATAGAACTACAAACAACCATACAAAACTAGGATGACGGGATGAAGGAAAATTGGGAGAAAAGAACGGCCATTGCCCAAAATCGGCCGCTTTTAATATCAGGCGTCCGAGTGCTAATTACGTATTCGTCCGATAGGACCTCTTTTATGTTGGACCTTAAAAAGGTCATCCGTCAGCACACGGCCGGCTCGTGAAATTGGAAACAGTTTCCGAGCCTAATTGTCAAGGACCAAACACTATTATCATAGAGGTAACTCTAAGACTAGAATGTTCCGAAACAACGTACTCAACTTTTTGGCTCAGCTCTGGTACTCTCTTTGGTCCCAAGCTAATCGATTCACCCCTCGAAACATAGGAAAATCCACGAACCCCTCATTTTATCTGTCAAACTTTCATAGCGAATCAAAACAAACATTATGTAGTAGTAGAATTTCGACTAGAATGGGGTACGTTAATCGATTTGCTTGGAATCAATAGGCTAGTCAAGTAGTGAGCCAATTTTAAATCGTTAGTTTCGAATTGATTGTTTCTATTATCTGGCCAAACGTAGGCCATATCCCAAAGGAGTTTTCCCTTCTCGGCTTTACCAAGGTGGATTTGCCACGGTCGGCCGATCGAGCCAACGAAGAACGCGATTCACTTAGATCGATTCTTGCCTCAAGATCGCCCAATGCTAGTTGGTAACCTTCGATTTGTAAATTTTATGCTTCCTAGTTGCCATACTTCTCCTAACTTTAGGGTGATCCTCAATTCTAGATCAACAATAGAAAAGGGCCCATCAGCATTTGTAAACAAACCGTTCCAAAGCCCTTGACTCACGAAACGAAGGCCACCCACGCAAACCAACACCATCATCAGATAGGGGAAACTTCTACCTACACGATGATGGTGTTGGTTTGTGTGAGGGACCTTCGATTTATGAGGAATGGGCTTTGGAAAGGTTTGTTTACAAATGCTGATGGGCCCTTTTCTATTGTTGATCCTCAATTGTACCTTTCGTAAAAGCTTCTTTGTTTCTGCTCGTTCATCCATGTAATTGAAAATTGTTCCTGACCAGTCTTGTAAGGGGACACCATAGTCGACACATTTTCTGTGAAAAGTGACTGCCGTTGCTTCCGACACTTGCAAAACAAGCTATCAAATTACAGTAACAAACTAAAATGTTATATGACATGCTCTGTCATACGACATTGTCGCCGAAGACCGTAACGAATGTGTTTATTTGAGTTTTTCTCATAATAAGATATTTCTGCTCAGAAATGGTTTAATTTACACCAAATTGAGAAATTAGAACGAAATCACACATGTCATATGATAGTTATTTGATAATTTTCTTTTTGCTCGAATGTTGTTCTACCATTTGTGTTGTGTAAGAGAGACGACGGTAGAGCTTGAGAGTACGAATACAAACAGACTGTCGCGCACGTCAACGAAGCAAGTGTAGTAAAAAACGTCGGCCGTTTAAACCCATGTTAATGATTCCTCATTTGGTTGATATCAAATATCAGGTGTGTGCATTTAGAACTAATTAGAATTCAAGAACTCGAGCTGAATTCTAAATCAAAATTTCAATTACATTCAATTCAATTTCAAAGGAAAATTTTAAACAATACTGAAGTTTCGATCAATTCAATCAATACTAAAGATCATCGCATTAAAATTTACTCATCCAACACGTACCACAAAGCCGAACAATCGCAAATCTCAAACCACCATATATATCGAATGACGTGCAAAGTTTCACGGATCCAATCGGCGAGAACATCACGCAGCCTGGCATGTAATTTATAATTATTAATTAACAACAATCCATCTATATCGCCTCAGTTTGATCAACAATCGACACGATAGATACCGACCTAGAAATAAGCCAACCCACACAAATGGGCCCCATCACCGCCGCCACTCATCCATCTTTTTCTCCCTTTCCACTCCACAGGCGGAAACCGCACTGATGTACGATGCCGTCCACTTGTTCGCGAAAGCCCTGCACGACCTGGACACCAGCCAGCAGATTGACATCCACCCGTTGTCCTGCGACGCCCAGGACACCTGGCCCCATGGATACAGCTTGATAAATTACATGAAAATCGTATGTATATAGCTACCTACTGTCACCACCATTCCAGTTCCCACAAATGGTCCCATTCACTCTCGGAAAAAAAAAGAAGAAAAAAAAACTATCCTGTGGGGGAACCCGATTAAAAATACGCGAATAGAAAACACTAAAATTGTTTGTTGTTGCAGTGTGGTCACTTTTACAACGACAATTATAAATGGAACAAGCGATAAATTACAATGCTATCGGAGTTTTTGCTCGGGTCAACCCATAAAATGGTCAACCCTTTTTCCGACCGAACATCGCTCGAATAACTCTTATCAAACCAAAAAACACACAAGCTCGCCCATCATATCCCACACACACACACACACACACACACACAAAACAAAACAAACAAAAAACAAAGAGGAAGGGTGGGGGGGGGGGTCGCAGTGATCCAACAAATTCACAACCAGAGCATATCGGGATCAACGCAGTGTTTTAGTGCCGGCCGAGGGATGAGCGAGAAAGGGAGAACGCATCAGATAGGACACAAACCGGTATTCGTCGTCTGGCCACCCACCCGTGTCGGATGGTCGGATAGTGTGTGTGCTTTTGTGGTCGGTCACGAATTAGTTACATTTATGCGAATGCTGCGATCGAAGTGTACGAGGCGTGTAATAGGGGTGGTGAAGTGGTTCACCGGGCGAAAATGTCTCCCAGAGGGTACGATGGTAAACACCATTTTGTGCATCGTTGGGCCATTTGGTGGGAACCTTTGGATGACAACCATTTGGTGGGAAATGTTTGGCTGCTGTGAAAATTCGATTGGGGAAAGGGGTTTAGATGAGAAATGTTCTTCAATGTGATGTAATAGTATTTCCCCGAACAGAATTGATCTTGACCAAGGACTCTTGAATTACAATTAAATTATTATTTTTACAATCGAAACAATAACGTATTTTGTCAAAAATTCAGACCATCATTTCAGGTAGCACTGCACTTCTCGGTATCGCCTTTTTGTCTTTCTATTTATTTATTTTTATTCTTGCTTCGCAACCGAGTGCCAATCGCCGACCAGTAAATCCGGCTTTATTTCCCTTCCAAAGTATAGGGGGCAGTGGTGGCACGAGTCCTGGAGTTTAACATTTTTTCCTTAACATTTGAAACTTTTTGCGATAACCATTGTGACGACACACAAACACAAACTGGCAAGCGGCAAAAATGTCATGACATTTCTAAACTGTTTTCTGCCAGCGACAGAACATTTTCGCACAAAGAAGCAGACAAGACCGGCGGCGCGCGCGACATAAATTTATGTCGTGTAGAATTTTGCTGATTTCTGGCTAATTACTGCATTTATTTGATGTTTATTGCATGGACTTAAAAGATAAGAATGAAGACTGACCACTCATAAGCATTGATGTTAAAATTATGCGTAAATAAGGGAGTTGGTAATTTACTGTCACACGCAAGCCTGCAGCTAAAATTTCATTACAATAAACTGTTTGGAAAAATCAGGCTGCGAGATTTTATTTATTCTCTATCTCCGCTGTTCGCTTGGAATGTAGTTATAAACGGCCGCCCGTGTGCTGGCTGTTTTGTTTCGCTCTGGACGATGGTTTTTCAAAAAATGTACTGTTGCCACCTCTGATAGGGGGAAGTGGGGCAATATTACCAATGGGGCAGTGTTGCCACCCGCTTAAAAATTCTACTTATTGAACATAATTTACAAACAATTCTGTTGCAGGCTTAATGCTTGAAGCCTACCTCAACTATTCATTTCATTTAAGTCTAACGAAATACTTGTCTCTAGAGCAAATATTCGAAACATGTTCGACTAGCTCAAAATGACAAAGCTGTTATAAGATTTATGAATCAGAGAATATGGTATATTCACAGACAAACAGACGTAACACTTCATTGTGTATCTTCGTTCACGCATTTAACGGTTGATTTGAATATTATCAGATCCGCGAACTACTCGCCGCAGCGCTGGCATCGGATCACTTTGACGTTTCTATACATTCTATAGAACTTTTATGCAATATTGTTTGCGAGTTAGCGAGCAATCTTGTTTTCCGCGAAAAGCCAGAGAGATGTCGCTATTGAGGTCCTATATTTTGAGATACTATGATTTCAAGAAAATCTTTTTCGAAGGGTTACGTGTTTGTCTGTGGTCTATCAGTAATTTGTAATAACTTATCGTTGATATTCCTTCAGCAACTTATATGACATGATGTTTTTCTAGATTTTAATAAACATTGAAGATTTTCTTAACAAAATATTACTTAAGTCCATTCGGGGCAATATGAGCACCACTGATATTTCAACTTATATTCTTCAATTTGCATTATTCCTTTTATAAATATGACTGTATCATATGAAATCAAATCACATGACTGGAAAATATAGCCTTAAATAGGTAGATGCTCATTTTACCCCAAACACTCAAAAAAATACACGCCTCAATCCTATGTGTGGAATTTTATAGATTGCTGCAATCGATGTTTCCAAGTATGATTTATAACGTTTTACACATAGGAAGGTTAATCACAAATCCATTTTGGTTCTATGTGTGAATATTATAGATTTTGTATACTATTGAAATAGAATCTATCAGATGTAACGAATGCATACTAATGATTTTTCATTAGTGTTCATGTTAATCATTAATTAATTGAATATATGAAATAGTTCATAATTATATTTTATGTAATTTAAATGTTATATGGCAAAAATATACTGCATAATTGTTGTATGACTTAATGCTTATTAGTAAATTTTCATTTATTTTCATTTAAATAAGGAAACACGAGTAGGAGGAATAACGTCTTGATAAATTCCTATTTTATTATTGTTTTGGAGTCAAATTAAATCCTTGTGTGTTCATTTTTTGCATGAGGTTGCATCATGTTTCAGAGCGTTTTTTTTGCCAAAATTGAAGATTTATGAACTTAATTTAACCCTTTGACGATAATAGGTAAGGAATTGATGGAGACGTATGCACCCTGTATAAAATTGCTTATCTGATTTACATGTGTATTTTAATGAAAATATAAAACTTTTACATTTATACATGTAAAATTTATGTTCTATTTTTAGTTACAAATAGGTGTTATTGAAATCACTTTTCTTCCTGAAGAAATATCTACCATTAATATTATGTAATTGCACAGGAGGTCCATCAAATTTACCGATGTTGAATATATGATAATTATTAGTTTTAAACAAAGCCTCATAGCCACAACAATTATCGAAAAACTTTCCTACAGTCCATTCCACTATTACAACATATACATTCTCGTTGACTTTAAGTAGATTTCTTATCTCATACAGATTTACATTTTGTACATGTGTTATTGTAAGAAATGATCCCAGCTTGTGTGTAGCGCCTTTATATTTAATATTATCTGATGAAAAAGCTTCTAACTTCAATGCGAATGCAAAGGAACTGGCAACTAAGTAAAATATGAGCGTTTCGTAGAGCTGTTTTGATTTTCCGTCTGAGTATGGTCGATTTAGAAATTTGATAAGTTTTGGTAAGTCTTGCTCAATCAACGCTAGTCCATATGGTTTACCAGCCTTGAGCATACAAAAGTCCTTGTCAATCTAAAAAAAAATATATAAATAACTAATATTATTCTAATCAACAAATACCTAGATGTATCGGAATAAACAAACATTGGAATCAGAAGTACAGCAGCAATAAATTCAACTGTCATTCGGGTTGAAACTAAATGTTCAAGTACCCTATGGCAATAGTGATCCACGAATTGGAAATACAGCCTCAAATTTCATAATTTACATTATAGTAAATGTTTTTTTTTTATTCTTTATTATTAAAATGTTTAGCCCTTGGCTAGTTCATCTCGTATTATAGTAAAATGTACTCTTTAGGAAATTATTTATAAAGCTTATGTCTACGTTAAAAACCATGAAAACTTATTTTGAGCATGATTTAGTCTGTATGACCAATTGGGGGAGCAGTATTCTCATGGCTGGCATATTTTCATTACATATTAATATTGTTGTTTACATAATCAAACTTACCAGTTGAAAACCAAATGGGTCCTTGTAGTGCGGAAACTTTTCCAAAAGCATTAGTATAAAATTAGCGTTGCAAAGTAATTCTTTCCGTTTCGGAAATGTTTCAGACCATTTATCCAAAACAACACTCCATGGCTGCCTGTTCAGAAGTAGCCAATCCATAGCCTCATGAACGGCTGATGACTCTTGAACCACATCTTCAATCCGTTTTTGCTTTGCCAGGAATTGATCTTCTGCTTTCTCTCGGTTTCGCTTCTTCTGTTTCAAATTGGTAATCTTGTTGTAGAGTTTTCCACTAGGATTCTTCTTCTCACCTTTGCGGGGAACAAAGTAATCCTCCTACAAATGTAAACAGGCATTTAATAAAAAATAAACCCCACAATTGCAGGAATAACCTTAGTCTCGTGCTGAAGACAACATACGATTGCATCCGCATAAGATTCCAGAATTTGTTCAGTTGATTTTAGTCCGTGATAATCAGCAATAATTCCTGTTAGTTCATTTTGACTGGTGTCCGAGAGAGGACCCAGAGATGAATACTAAGATGAAACTGTCGAAAGAAAAACTTTCTATTTTAGTGTCCTTTTTCACGGTCCCTTTCATCCAATGAATACCCCCCGTATGCAAGGTAATTTTGTGGTTTTGCTGCCCCCTCGGTAGATATGAAATTTTGCGCACTTTTTTTTATCAAAACAATCACACCAAAATCAGAGATGTCCCATTTTTTAATTACTCGATTAACAACTAATAGATTATTTTTTGTTCGCTGTACTGCCATTTTTCCACCAATGAGAGTTCAGCACATGTTTGAAACGATGAGTGATGATCCTCTGGAGAAATTAATGCTTGTATCGGCATGATATAACCGATTACAAATATTTTACTTTTCGGTTCGTTAATCGATTAAACGAGTATTCGAATGAAAATCGGCCATCACTAGATGAATGTGAAACGTCATTTCAAATATAAGGACCGTACATAAATAATGATACAATTTGAAA